GAGGGGCCTTACAAAATCGGACAGTATGGCCTTTTCGACCGCAGTTGGAACACTGCAGTTCACGGCAGGGGCCGTTGTGGTGGAAAGGGCACTTGGGACACTTGGGCAAGTTTCCACTGTAAGCTTTTGGCGGGGCTGGAGCAGCTGGAGTAGTCGGGGTGGTGGCAGCATGGACCGCCACAATTTGTTGGTCCTTTGAGGAGGTTTGAGTTTTCTTGCCTTTCATCTTATCCCATCGCTTCCTCTTTCTGTCAGATGAAGCGGGCGGTGCAGTGGTTGTTGTGCCGGAGTGGAGGGATTTCGTGGTTGATCAGACTCTGGGCCAATTCCTTGGCGCTATCAAAAGTTGTAGGGCGTGAAGCTAGAACATTTCCTTGATACGGGGGCACTAAACCCCAGATGTACCGTTCAATCTTCTTGTTCTCTGTAGGGATCATATTGGGGCACATAGCTGCCAAGTCGCAAAACCTGGCCGTATAAGCTGTTATATCGGTCCCCTTCATCTTGAGGTTCCAGAGTTCTTCCTCAAGTTTCTGAATTTCGCCCCTAGGGCAGTACTCTCCTCTCATGAGGTCCTTCAGAGTGTCCCAGCCCATAGCATTGGCTGTGACCAAGGAAAGTGAACTAACATGGCCGTTCCACCATGTCAAGGCCCTGTTGGTAAGGGTAGCGGTAGCGAACTTGATTTTGCTCTCCTCGGGGCAAGAGCACATCTCGAACACAGCTTCGGTTCTTTCGAACCATCGAGATAATGTCAGAATTCCTCCAGTACCATCGAAGAAGGTGGTTTACAGTTCATGAAATCCTTATAAGTACATCCCTGCACTCGATGATGGACTTCACCGAACCTGGAGTTACCACCGCTCGCATCCCCAGAATTCATTTGGGCCATGGCTGCTGTCACGGCCGCAGTTACCGCTGTTTGAAATAACACCGGATCGATCTGTGGAGGAGGGGGTGGTGGAGTAGGGGTTTGAGTTGCAGGTCTTCCTCTGGCGGGACGCTTTCGTGGAGGCATCCTTTACTGGAAGAAGTATAGAAATGATAGCAATAGTAAGGGCCTATTGCGAATATAAATAGAGTGTTTCGTGGACTAAATCAACATAATCCAAGATCAAGATGAGAGTTATAGCAATAGAGAAATCAACTGCCAATATATTGGTATCATGATGCAACACAAGTTCATGAAAATTTGACCTAGCAATAGGTCTTACATCATACCATAGAGAAAAGGTTTGGCAGTTTAGAGGTTTGACTAGAGTACTTTCAAGCTAGGAATGTTTACAGATAATAGATCTACGGAACATAGAGTGGATAGGTTAATCCATTAAACAAAAGATAGAGGTAACTAGACGTCTTCTACTGGCGACGGTTACTTGTCGGGTGAATCCTCAGTTCTGCTAGCTGACGCATAACTTCTTGAAGGTGTCGATCATGAGTCCTTTGGCGTGCACGGAGTTCTCTAACTTCAGCTCGGGATGCAGCCAGCTGGTGCTGCAGAGCCTCGTTAGTCCTCCTTGTCATGTCCATGGCTTCTTCGAGTTGGCGGATGCGAACTGTGTTGAGATTTGAGTTGGCATCCACTTCCACAACTCGACCTATTGCAGCTTGACCTTGCTCGACATTCCTGGCAATCCTTCGGATCATGATGGGCAGAACCTGATCTGCTGATCCACCTTCGTTTATGTTGTAGAAACTTCGGTCTCCATTGTATGGCGTGGGCTGACCCTGCTCTTCGCTCCATCTGTGCAAGGATATGGCCCACATAGGAGTGGGGCCCTGAAATGTCGGACGGGGGTTGGGGTTTGGGACTCCAGGGGGTAGGTTATTAACTTCTGGCTCGGAGTCGGAGTTATCCGGAAAGCCTTCTGCTCGGTGGTCATCCAAGGGGATTGGGTGATCATCGTCCGACTCTTCACTGAGCCATCCCCCATTACCCTGGTTTGGGTAGTACGGGTCGCCTGGAGGGTGGAAGCCAGCCATGGTATCTATGCGAGAAAGGGGAAAAGAAGGTTAATAGGCGTACTAACCTAAATTACTTATAAGACGGTCGTCACGAGTTGGACCAATACTTGCATAATGCATACTAATTACATGTGATTGGGCAGGATAGTCCGTCGAATA